TTTTTTTTTTTTTTTTTTTTTTTTATTTGTTAGTGTAAACTGTAATGTAAAATCAGACAGCTCTCGTTTGTAAATTTCGCGTGCATTTCCTTTTTCTTCCGAATTTACCTAAATTTTTAATTTTATAGTCCTCCAATTTTCTTTTTTTATTTATTTAAATATCAAGCGAGTATTTGAACGTTCCTCTATGATTTAAATAATTGAATTATAAATATACTATTAATCTTATAGGTAATCCTTGCAATTTCTATTCCCAACTTTATTAAATATGATTATGTGACTCCAATTAAAACTTTTAAAACTCGTAAATTTCATTTTATTAGATATTAATATCTCACAAAATTTTATTTATGACTTTAAAAAAAATGTAAAATATAGTTATATTCTTAATATATATTATATATTGAAAGGGATTTATATTAGAATAGGTCCAATTTGAATGACAGTAGCCGACATTAATGGAGTAATAGTCAAAATGATGGAGACAACTTTTTAGTGTCTAAATTGATAGTTCTTTTATCAACTTAAAGACGCAAAGCAACTGAATGCACCTCAAATTTGAATGTAACAAAACAAAAATTAAATTTTGTAAGATATATATAGAAGATTTAAACCTCTAACTTGAACTAGATAGAATTATACTTACTATGAATTACTAGTTGAAATTAATTTAATTTAGTCTAATTTCAAATGTTCCCAAAAATAAATTGAAGCTCTCCTTCATTTTCCTTAGAACTTTGATTAAGCTATATTGCATCAGAATTAAGAGCTTTAATTTCTTTGCTTGGAATTCTAAGGTTGCTTGACAATAACAACGGGACATTTCGCATATTTGGCACAGTAATCACTCACGCTCCCAAGCAGTGCCCTGCAAACACAAATTAACATGAGTGAGTATCCATCCTACCTAATATTTTGTTGCTTATTATCTGTTTCGTATTGGCGTGACGTAATTAGTATAAAAAAATTGTTCACACATATATTAATTAAGAAACGTTTTGCTCTTGAGAGTAATTTCAAAATAAACATAAAGAAATGAGCTAGCCAAAAATTTGAACGGACCTCTGGAAGAAACCATAACCATGGCATCCCATAACCAAGGTATCGGCTCCAAGCTTCTCCACAGTGCGGCATATCACGTTCTTCGCATCTCCCCTCCCTACTACTCTCTCCAAATTTACCTGCACAGCAGGTGTTCGACAAAATGCCACTCAGAAAATCAACAAATACAAAAACAATCAAACTAAACAGATCACAGATTAGAAATCAGAGATAGTCGATCCATTACGTTCGTATTAAACTTCGCATATACTGCTTCGGCTCTCTTCATCACCGCACTAACCAGATCCTTGCCGTGCTTTTCCATAGCCGAAATCACATCGCTCGAAAACACATAGCCTAAAGTACAAACAAACCGTCAAAATTCAAATTCACGAAATCAGATGCCTGAATCGAAAAATTTTACCCGGCGCATCGAAGGAGGAAATGGAAATGGCCGGAGACGGCTTGACGTAGAGGAGAATCAGAGTGTTTTTGGTATCTGGAGAAGTGAGATTTGAGAGACACCATTGCAAGGCGAACATACTCTCTTCACTCTCGTCTACAGCAACCACGATCCTCTGTCCGTTCGCCTTCAACGATTTCACGGCTTCCATAATCGCCTTCTTCACCGGATTTGGTTGAGTTAATGTAAATTATTGAGATGATAATAGCGCCCGTAATGTGTGTGTATATATATGGCGTGGAGAAGTGTATTGGCCTCAGGTTCTGGATGAGACAGCGGAACCCATTTTTGTTTAGGGCGAAATGCATAATTTTATTGAATCCATTGAGCGACGAATTTAAATCTATCCGTTTCTATTTCTGTGATTTTAACGTAACAGCTTATCCGAGCACAAAAGCCCCTTGATATTTTTTTTAATTAATTAAATAATTAAATAAATCAGTTTAATGCTGATATTAAAAGAAACAAGCCAAAAACAATAGTAATTAAAGTTATATTATGAAATATGTCACACATCACATCTCATTCAAATAGCTTTTAATTAATTTCTTTTTATTCAAATACCATGTCCTACAACTACAAGTTGTCCAAAGAAAAAAATAAAATAAAATAAAGCTAGGACCTATAAATAAATTTTTATGTGAATATAAAATAAAATACTAGATGTTCGGAAAAAAAATGAAAAATTAGAAGAATTGGAGTCAAAGGAGTGAACTCTAGAAGCTAGAGCTTTATTTACCTTAGGAACTGTTAAGAACGAGAAGCAGCAGGAAAGTATGATTGTTTACCTAGTTTTAAATAGGATACAAACTATCGACTAATACCTAATAACAGAAAAATATATAACTAACTAAATCTTGTAAATAAGATAAAATAGGCTGATAATTAAATCAAAATATACTACTAACAACTCCTAAAAATAAAGAAAAAATAATAACTAACTTACTAAATCTAAATTTTATAAAAAAAAATAAAATATACTGATAAAATATACTCCTAACAACTCTAAAAATAAAGGAAAAATATTAACTGACTTACTAAATCTTATATTATGACAAATAATAAGACAAAATATACGATTAATCAAATCATAGATAAAATATACTTTTTAACCATTCCAAAACAAAAAAAAGGAAAAATATTAATGATATCTAAAAAAAATATTAACTAACTAAATCTTATAAATAAAATAAAATATCAGGAGATAAAATATACTATTAACAACTCAAAAATAAATAAAAAAAATATTAACGAATATATATACTCTATAACTAATTATAAAGATATATTCTCAAAATATTATATTTTAATAGAAACATTATTTAATTAGAGACCGAATGTTAACTTATCTTATTGAACGGCCACCTTATTCAACTAACCGAACGCAACTTTTAGTACAAATAGTTATAGTACCCTTACAACTCTGATAAAAAATCTTATTAAAAAAAGCTCTTGATCTTTCTTTTAAATCAAAGTAGGTCGGGGGAAGCTACCGTTTATATTATTATTAGATCAAAACCTTGTAATCAAATAGCTACCTTTAAATTCATTTGATGGGTGCATATAATCATAAAATGGATCAAAATGAGGGACTAAAAAGTGCAAATTGGATGAGGTTTTGATGGGGACAGCAGTGACCAGATATTATTTCTAGAGATAAAGATGAAATTTTCATTTTTCTTTTATTGAATATTATAAAATTAAATTTTAAGATGACAATTTCTTTTTAAATATATTTATATTTTGTTTTAAAATTTATTACTTATAATCACCTTTTTTAGTTTGTGAATTATTTAAATGTTTATAGACGGAAAAGTTAGACTTTTTAAAAGTTAAATATGTGTCGTTTAATTGATAAGTATATATTTATTCGACAAATCTTCGTATTTAAATAAATTTAAAAATTAATGTTGGATATTATTTTGCTCCAACAATAATTGAGGTTTAATTTGTCTTTTCCGTATAATTTTCATTAGGTAAAAATTCTCCTAACTTTCATGACTTTTTGGTATTTGTTTACATAAAAATTAAAATATAAAAAAGAAAAAGGAAAATTGAAGCAGCCACTCTTGAAAGGGGAAAATATCAAAATATATTGTAGTCTTTAATTGTAATATTAAAAATAAAAATAAAAATAAAAGAAAACTGGTTTGATGATATTTTGAATCAATTGTGAAATAAATATCTGATATTCTATTTCATAATGATTTTGTTTTCTTTTGTTTTTATAATATCTATATTATAGAAAATATCTAAGCTTCAAACTCCAAATATAATTAATGAAACAAAAACACAGGTAGAAATTTAGATTTTTTTTTTCTAAAAAATAATTTAATATTTGAAAACTTTTAGAAGTATTTTTAAAAAATGCCCTTATTATGAGTACCTATAAAAAATACTCCTAAAATTTTAAAAATAATATTAAAAAATTGGAAGATAATATATGAGGTGTTATATATAGATTTATCCATTGACCGACTCTAATGACTGTTTTATAAAGGTCGAGAGTGTTAACGTTACCTTTAAATGTTCATAAGTATTTTTCAATCACAGCAACACAATAAATGTATTATGGAACTTTTTAAAATTAAATGTTATACTCGAAAGTAGTAAATAAAGTATTAATAGTTTATATTCAAAACATTCTTATTGAAATTGGAGATATTTTTTTTAGACTAAATACAAAATTTAATTATATTTTTATTAATTTAATTAAGTATTTTTGTACATCATTTATAAAGCAGAAAAAAATATATTTGAATGCTAATTAAATACTAAAAAGTAAATAGAATAAATATGAATTTGTAAATAAAAAACAAAATGAAAACAAGGGTCCAATACTGTGGTCCAAGATTTTGATTTATAGGTAGAGAAGCATTCAAGTGAAAGTGAGAGGCCATAGATTGGATTTGGACTTTGGGCCTAATTACCATTTAATTATTTATTTTTTATTATATCTATTTTAATCCTAAATTTATAACAAACCTTAACCTTAAAGTTCACAAAATATTACAATTTTAACCCTCTAAATTTTTTTTTTTACTCATAAAAGAACTCAATTCGTTATTAACTTACGTTGGCTTTATGATTATTATAATAATATTTATAGTATTTAGTTTTCGGGCAAGATGGTACAATTTTAATTATTATGGTACCTAATTTAAATAATGAGAAGTTAGTGGTAACGCCAAAGCCAAATGGTAATAAATTAGTTGGGAAAATAATAAATAATTTTAAAAATAAAAATAAAAAAAGTGAACCAACGAGTTGGCCTGCTGTGCCGGCAACAATAGTTGGGTGCACCCAACCAAACCAAATCGGACACGAGTTAGACCAACCCACCTTATAAAATATTTACTTTATTAAATTATTAATCCATTTTCTTCCTTCTATCTTCTTTAATTATCTTAGATTTTAATTCAAGATAATTAGCATGCTTTTTTGTTTAGCTAATTCTTTAATATTGTCACGATTTCTTATTTTTAATAATTTTAAAAAAAATCCTTATCTATTTATTTTTATAATTTATAAAAATAAACCGGCCCCACAGAATCTCATAAACCGGCCACCGTCCTCCTCCCGGTCGTTCGAAACGGGCCGGTGAAAATGGGCTCCCATTAGCCGGCCCACAAATTTGAATTTCCGCTTTAAACTCATCTCGACCGTTGATTAAATTAAAATCGCAGGCTCCTGATCCCTTTCCAGCAAATCAAGAAATTCAAAAGACGATTTTATCCCTACTCTTCCTTTTATTTATTAAATCGGCCATTTGAAGCAATATTATATTAACTCAATCTCTTTTCTTATCTTATCTCTGATATATTTGCATGCGTATTTTAATTAATTATTTTTCATACTCATTATGTTCACGTTTAATGACGTGGCGAAATTAAATGTTTATTTTATTTTATTTTTTGTGAATATGAAATTAAAAAATGTTTTGGTGGGGATAGGTTTTTTTTAGGTGCTTCCATATTGGATTTTGGTTAGTTAGGTCAAAACTTAAAAAATAATTTATATCTTTTATTTATTGATAAGAATGTTAAATTATTTAGTTAATTAATTAATCATTTATAACTATTTTTTAATTCATTACAAATATTTTAATTTCAATCTTTTTAATATATTAAAAGAGACAGAATCTAAAAAGAGTGTAGAAAGGGGTAAAAACTGAATAAAGGATTTGAAATGCTTTTGTTATCCAAATATTCTCCTCCAATTATGAATTAAAGCATATTTCACAATAGGGTTTTATATAAAAACATCTTTTCTATATTTTTTTACCATAGAAAAAGATTTTGAATCTTTCAAATTCTTTATAAATAAATAATAATTTCTTTATTACTATTTTATGTTTCAAATTTATTTAACCATTTAGATTATTTCTTAATAAACAATTAAGATCCCAAATGTTCTCTAGTTTTGATTATGGGATAGAGACAAACCATTTCCCAAGATGAATCTTATAAATAAATAAATAAATTTTAAAATATATATATATATATATATTACTCTTTCAAATGTACGTAGGGACAGAAAAACATTCTCCATCCTTGCTTCCGGTAAATTCTCAATTTATTTTTGCAAGTATGAAAGTGGAGATTCTTATAAGAAATTTGTAAAAATCGAGTTCCCAACCGTAAAATATATATAAAAGTGGGGCAAGGTGAATCGAGGTAAGAACAGGGATCAGGATGTAATTTCCATTCCCAACTTTATTTAGCGAAGAAAAATCTCTTCCCACTCCTTCTTGGATTAAATCGACAATCTAAGTAAGTAGTAAAAGGGGTTGATTCAACCTACTCGCACTAAACTCGACATATTTGAGGTTTAAGTTGAAGTATGGTGGAGCTTAAATGGGGCGAGGTGCATAATTAATACAATAAATCTGATCTAATTTTTTCTCCCAAACATTTATAATTAAAATCATAAATGATATGTTATTTTCGCGCATCACAGGGAGTTATCTGACTCGACTTCCTTCCATGTGTTGGTAGTCTGTTGAAGTATTCAATCACAATTCATAAGCGAACCCCAAGGGTGATTTGGGAAATTCATACTCCCTTTCGTTTATTTAAAGCTGAGAATCCACAAAAGAGGGAAGAACACCCAGAAAAACGGAGAGTTTGTTTTGAATAAAAACAGAGCATTTTGAACAACAACAACAACAACAAAAATGGGCCAAGTGTCTCTATACGTAGAGGAGTTCCAATTCCAAACGTCCTACCAAGTCTCACGCTGTAGGATCTGCCACGAAGACGAACTCGAAACTGCCCTCCAACTCGAAGCCCCCTGTTCCTGTTCTGGCACCATTAAGGTAACCCCCAAATTCCCAATCCTTCTTCCACTTCCGAATTTGAATTTGAATTTGAATTTGAATTTGAATTTGAATTTGTCTTTTCAGTTCGCTCACAGAGATTGTATTCAGAGATGGTGCACTGAAAAAGGCAGCACAGTCTGTGAAATTTGTCTCCAGGTTCGCTGTTCTTTTCCTCTGTTCTTCCTGATCTTTGCGTTTCTGGGTTTTCTTTAAATTCAAATTTTATTTATTTTTTATTTTCATCTCTGAATCCATATGGGTTTCTTGCCCACTGGATTTCGTGTTTTTCTTTGTATTCAAGTCTCTCTGAAAAAACATTCTATTTCTTACTTTTTTAATTTTAAAAATACAATTTTTTTTCCCTTCAAATATTACTATTTTTTGTCTTCAAATATTTTAATGCGTTATTTAATAGATGAAATTAATAAATGTTTGCCTATCCCTTCTACATTAATTTAAAAACAATAATTTAAAATTCTGTTATGAATTAAAAGTATAGACATTAAACAACAGGAATTTTTTTTTTTTTTTTTTTTTTAAAATTTGTTTTTGTTCTCGCAGAATTACGAACCAGGCTACACGTCACCTTCTAAGAAGCCTCAACGCGGCGATCCAGGTGTCACTATCAGGTATGTTTTTTTCCTTTTCCACTTTGTAATGGAAATGGGAAATTTCTTAAATCGCGAGCCAGACCTGCTTTACAGCCAATTCCTCGGCTCTGCTGGCGATTTTTTTAAAAACATTTAAGGAAATGAAATTAAAAAAAAATTAGTTGGCAGGGATAGTTTGCAAATCCCTAGAAACGAGGAAGAAGAGGCGGCAGAGCCAGCGTCGCCACCCGCAGACGGCGGCGCGTCGGACTCCACTTGCTCCACCACCACTGACCGTGGTGCTTCCTGCTGTAAATCCGTGGCTCTCACTGTAAGTTCCTCAATTATCAAACACTAATTTCATAGTGGGTTTAACTTATCACTACTTAATTGGAATTCATTATGTCATACACTAGTTTCATTATTTTATTCTAATTAATTCCACCCACTATCATAGGTTAAAATTTAAACATAGATATTAATAACATTCATTCATCTAAACTATAGTTCATAAATTTTAGTGGGGTTCGACTATGATTATATTTTTTAGTATAATGTAGGTCACCAACCCAACAAATAACAGTTAGCCCTAGCAGCCTACCATTTCGCTTAAAAAATTTCACAAACAAATTTACCCTTTTAATACTAAGATTCCCTTATGACTTTATAAAAAAGTTCACATTTTTGTATTAATTTCCTTTGTTATGCAGTTTACTTTAATGTTGTTGGCGAGACATTTCTATGAAGTAGTTACTATTGACACTGCACAGTACCCATTTACACTTGCCACTGTGAGTACTCGATTCTATTCGGTTCGATTGAAGGAGTAATATATATTAATTATTTTGTCGTGCGTGTTTGATTTAGGTTCTGATTTTAAGAGCTAGTGGGATTATTTTTCCTATGTACGTGATAATTCGAACGATTAGTGTCATTCAAAACAGTGCTCGTCAGAATCGGTATCGGTATCAGAACGAGGAGGTGAGTTTTAGTTTACATTTGGAAAGCCGAGAAAAGGAGGAAAGTTGAAGTCTTTTTAAAATGGGTGACTGATCGAGAGTTTTGTTATTGTGTATGAAATAGGAATCTGATGTTGACAGTGATGACGATGATATCTCGAGGTTTGAAGAGGATGATAGAAGGGTGCATCATATTGTCTAATACAGACACTCATTATTTGGTTAAGGATCGTAGTCAATTTTTGTAAAAATTTATATTTTTTAATTTTTTAATTTATTTTTTTAATCTCGTACTTGGATGAATTTTGGTAGCATAGAAAATTGTTAAAAATAAATAAATAAATAAATAAAAATGGAAACTTTAAAACTAAGTAAAGGAAGGATGACCTAACAAAAGGTTGGGTTTATATTGTTGGGATTAAAATTGACTTTTTAACTAAAATTTGGAAATGGGTTTGTCTTTACCTTTTGAAATGGCATGGGGCAAACTTTATTGATTTTAATATCAAACCTAACCGTTCTATTGATTATTACCCTATCGAATAGCATGTGCTTTATTAAAGGCTACTAAGGTTTGGTTCATGTTTATATTCAATTTCAATTGGATTGAACCTAATATATCAATTTCTTTGACCTAACCTGTCAGATTTCACATTGGTTGGACAGGGGAACGAAATATTATTTATAAGGGTGTGGAAATCTTTCTTTACTGTCGCGTTTAAAATCGTGAGGTTGATGACGATATATAATAGGCCAAAGTAGACAATGTCTTCTTGTGGTGGACTTGAGTTGTTACAAATTGTATTAGAGTCAAACATTGGACGGTGTGCCAACGAGCACACTGGCCCCCAAGTGAGGGAAAGGATTAAGAGATTCGACATTGGTTGTAGAGGGGAATGAAACATTCCTTTTAGGGGTGTGGAAACTCGCCCAATAGAGTCGCGCCAATAAATCCATGAGAGATTATTTGTAAAATAGCTTCATGGAGTCTCGTATCGCTTATAGAACAAATTCTTATAATTATGAAACCGTGTTAAGAATGAGGCTCTAATAACATGTTAAGAATGAGAAATAGAAATGGGATTGAAAGTGTTATCGGTAAGATACAAGCTAACCAAATCTCGAGAATGAGATAAAATATACTACTAATCAAATCGTTAAGATAAAATATACTACTAATCAAATCGTTAAGATAAAATATTAACTGATTACGACTATAAGTCCATATGAGAGACGGAAACTATTTTTTTTTTTTTTTTAAAAAATTGAGTTGACCCGAGATGATGAAGCTGCATAGACTATTTGAATTGCTCATTTTTTTAAACGGTGAGGTTGACGACTAACGGGCTAAAACAAACAATGGTGGGCACAACATCTTCGGTGGGCTTAGGCTCTTATATAACATTGAATTCTTCTATTTATAAACAACATAAAAATTATTAAAAAAAAAAAAAAGTTAAAAGTCTTATTTTTAACAAATATTTTATTTTTTAAAAGTAATTTATTGGTTTAATAATTTGGGAAAAAAAAATAGAAAACAAAAATTTGATTGAAGCTTGAGCCTAAGTTTGACCAAATGAATGAAGCGTATGGGTTGAGCCATTGTATGGCTATTAGAGAATGAAATAGCCTGGCCCAAGCCCAAATAGCATTTGCGGTTCAATGGGCCTTGGCCCATATTACGGTCAAATTTGAGATGAGTCATTCTGAATTTCCGAGGTTCTTTTTGAAATGCAATCGTGAATTCTTCTATGTATTTTAAATTATTCTAAATTATCATAATTTCTCTATTTATTGATTTAATCTCGAAATTTTAAACCGTCCAATAATAACCATTTAACTCTCGAGCATTACAACTCATAGCTTGCAATATAACAATGAAGGAATCCTCGTCTCGTCTTAGAATAATTGTTAATATCGTTTGTAACATCTTTCCTCACACACTCTTTATTTGGCCGCACAAAAGTTTAAAAGATCATTTATCCAAAAACATACACGAAATCCTAGGTTTTATAATAATCGTGAGAGTGTCATAATGCTAGGGACGAAAATTAGAATCGAGTCGGCTCAAATGTGTAAATTTGTCTAAGAGGGTTAAACACTGTTAAAAAAACATATACACATTTTGGTCGGGATATGATAAATTTGAAAATTAGTTATTTAAAAAAAAAAAATTAATATGTTAAACTTTTTAAATACTAATTATTTAAATTATAATACACTTTTTTTTTTTAATATCTTAACATCATTATTTAATGAAAATTGTGAAAAAAAAAAACCGTAGAACCAAACAAAAACAGTTCTTTGACGCTGTCGTAACGTCCCATGCCAGCTATGACACCGACGCCACGCCTGTAAATTACGTTTTTGTCATTTTAAAAAAAAAAAATATCATTGAAATATTCCAGTTTTTAGGTGAGCACCTTCACATTCCTCCCCTATATAAACCCCTCTCCGCGCCTTGCCAAACTTTCTTTCGCCTCGCCATTCGCTCGCATTCTTCACCTAAGCTAAGTCTTTCTCTCTCTCTCTCTCTCTCTCTCTTTTTCTTCTTCCACTTTTCCTCTCTTCTTAAGTCTTTTCTTTTTATCTCTTTCTTCCTTCTTTCCTTGTTCTTGCGTTTTTCATTTCCCTTGCTTTCTCTTCTTTTTCATTGTCCTCTTTAATTCCAATCTCTTAGATTTCTGTCCAATTCTTCGTCACTGTTCTTGACTACGGCTTGATTTGTGATTTGTAGTTGTTCTTTCTGTTTGCCCGTTCTCTTTGTTTGTCTCTCTTGCTCTGATCTCAAAATCCATGGTTAACTACTTCCTTCTAGGGTTTTCCTGATTACCTCGATGATTTTAGGTTTTCTATGACGTTCTCTTTACTGAGGCGACGTATTCGTATCCTCCACTCGTTTTCGGTTGTGTTTCTGTACTGGTTCTACGTCTTCTCATGAACTAATCGCCTTCTTCGTCGCTGTGGAATTTGATTGATCTCTTCTTGCGGTAGCCTGAGTTGTAGATCGGGAGATTCATTTGATTTTTATTAGATTAGATACTAAAAGAACTTTTTACTCGAGATTACTTGGTATTATTTTGGCGGGAAGTAATTGAAAGAGAGAATTATATGGCATCGATTCCAAGGAAAAGCTCCCCCGGATCAAATGGAGGTTTGCAACCTGCCATTCCTGATGAGAGGAAGAGGAAGCGGATGCAATCCAACAGAGAGTCGGCTCGGAGATCTCGGATGAAAAAGCAGAAGCAAGTGGAAGACCTCACGGGGGAGCTGAGCCGATTACAAATTGCGAATAATCAGCTTCTGCAGAGCATTGGTGCCAAGGAGCAAGCATTTGTCCAGGTCGACAACATGAACAATGTCCTCAGGGCTCAAGCTATGGAACTGACCGATCGTCTGCGATCCCTGAACTCTGTCCTTCAGATCGTCGAGGATGTTAGCGGGCTTGCTATGGACATCCCTGAAATTCCCGATCCTCTCTTGAAGCCGTGGGAGTTCTCTCGGCCAGCTCTGCCCGTAGCTGACATGTTCCTGTGTTAGTGAGTCCCTCTTAAAGGGGTTAGAATCGCCACATTTGCGAGTCTTTTGTCCAGTGGGGAACCATGGTCGTTTGTGAATTTATTGCAGATCTTAGGATTCTGCTCTGTGTCTGTGTTTGCATGTCATATAGTAGTGGTTTTGTATCTTCTGTTTGAATTAGTCAAGTAAATGGAACTTTTATGTGTTTTTGGTTATGTAATGATACACCAATACCATCTATATTTGGGGACTTCGTCTGTATTCGCTCTAGTGATTTCTCATTAGCTAATTGCTGAACGCAAGAAGTTCTTGGATACCAATGACAGAGAATTTGGTCTTATGTATTGAATACTGTTGATGCAAAGATCTCTGCGTTTTTCCTGTTAAATTTGTTCCCACTGTTGCTGCTAAAGTATTAGGTGGTGCATTTCAAACCGAGTTCAATTCTGCCTTATCTACATGGATTGTGTCCAATTCTCTCTCTCTATTACAGATTTGATTTTGATTATCCGGAACTTTCCGCCTTACTCACCTTTTGAATTGGTTCATTACAGTTGCATAAACAAATCTGGGGGCTGGCTTTGGTTCGTGGTTATCCGAGATGGGAAAAGAATATGCTTGAGATTGTATGCTGGAGAAACCCCAGATGAGTACTATGGCTTTTATACTAATCCATTAAGTAATGATAGAATTGATTTTATCCTCAGGATTCTTCCTGGAATCTTGTTCCGGATCTTCTCCCTTTGACCCCCTCTCTGATGACCCTTGTGTGCCGCACGACATTTGTAGGTGGAGTTGGTAGGCAGGGAATTATTTAATGGGAAAAAGGTGGGAATACTATAAACACTGTCTCCTTTAATCAATAGGGAGTGTTTAGATGATATAATCGAGATTATTAATAGATATCCGTCAAACTAGTCCAAAAAACTCAATATGCTAATTCTTCTGTTGCTTGTCAATGAACAAATTTGACCTGTCTCCTCTTGGTTCTGTGGGCAGTTTAGCTTATCCAAATGTGTTTAATCGTCTTATATTCCTCTTCTAGAATACGCTGCTTCTTTTCTTCATAATAAAATGAACTTATTCTCTGAAATAGCCTTATCGCCACAAGCGGGGTAGAATGTAGAACTAAAAGTGACGCCTTTGAACTTGAGTTTCTACGGCCTCTTTTTCTTGCTGGAGCGGACTTGTATGTACCAATGAAACAAGCAACCGCCACTTGTTTCTCGTGGTTTTTGAATAATCTAGGGCTGTCTGGTTCTGGAGCTGTTGGAATAAAAATCCAGCGACTCTGTTCTTGATTGCTTTTATGGTTGTTTATGACAATGATTTATGTGAGATCGCATATCGGTTAAAGAGGAGAAAACATTCTTTGTAAGGGTGTGGAAACTTCTCTCTAGCAGACATGTTTTCAAAACTTTGAGGGAAAGCTCAAATAAGACAATATTGGTTAGTGGTGGGCTTGAGCGGTTAGGAATGATATTAGAGCTAGACACCTGACGATGTGCCATTGAGGAGGCTGAGCCCCGAAAGAACGTTGGGTCCCAAAGGGGGTGGATTGAGGGGTCCCATATCGATTGAAGAAGAGAACGAGTACTAGTGTGGGCCCTGAAGGGAGGAGACAAAACATTCATTATAAGGGTGTGGAAACCTCTCCCGAGCAAACAACCTTGAGGAGAAGCTCGAGAGGGAAAGCCCAAAAAAGACAATATTTGTTAGCTGTGATTACAATTAATTTTAAGCTTTTTTGGCCATATCCATGCAACTGTGTAAGAGTAGTAACAGCTTTAAAAAGTTATACAACCACATATCATCCAAATAACTTTAACCCAAATCAATATATAGATGATATATAAAATGCTTAAAACTTGATATCATTTCGTTACTCAGTTGTCATAGGTTCGACATTCCTCAGTCTCTGGGTTGTCCTTGCAATAGGTCTCCAATGGATCCGACTCCTTCTTCTTGTCACGAGCATGGCTGGCTGCCGCGCTCAATTCCTCAACTTCGTCCCATGCTGCAGCGCACTCGCCGCTCACAGGGTCACCTGCACAAGCCTCCTCTGCATTCTTGATGCTCTCTTCCACCTTGTCCGATATCTTATCCGGTGCAGCGTGAACCGGTGGAACTCTCAATCGTATGGCTCTGAACTGGGTCGACTGCTTCCACGAGCGGCGGAGAAACCCCACATTGAAAGATTGGGGTTTAGGTATCTCAACAGCCTTGGCCAAGATTCTTGGACTTGAGAGGTTCACCCCTGAAATGGTCGCCATATCTCTGTGTATGGAAGAAGTAATGCTAAGTTGAATTGAGAGCTCGAAAGAGGATATAAATCATGGGGATATGGCGTTAGGAAGTATAATATATAAACGGATTGGTAAATGTGCCATTGACACATATTTCTTATCAAATGGTGGCCAATGGATGAAGGCCACGCCATATCAGTTATGGAGATATTTCATCAAAGGCCCAAAACATTTGTAAAAGGAGGAAGAGTAGACGATTAAAATTCCATTGAAATGGAAAAATCTTGGAAAATTATGGCCAATTTGATGAGCAGATGGCAGAGCATAAAAATATCAAGAGATGCCCAAAATTGTCCTGATTTGCATACTCCTTTCATTGCTCGCAACAAGTTAAAAGAACAAGCAAATGAAAAAGAGATTAGAGCCACAGAATCTAAATATCAACTTGGATGATTTTCATTTAAGTCATTAATTTTCAAAAAATATAATTTTTATAATACTCAAACCAACTGACTGCAGGTAGAGTTTCGTAGGGGATTATTACGGTTATATTGTAGGATCTACCACTTATTCCCTTATTTTCCCGTGATACAAGGAAGTTCCTACGGTTGAGGATTGTCGGGAGGGAGTCCCACAATCGCTAATTTAGGAAATGATCATGTATTTATACTCAAAGTCTACAATATCCTACTATTGTGGAGAGTCGTGATTCCTTACACCTGCCACCCTGCAAATCTCAATCGAATGATGTGGAACCACATAGTTGCCATTACCCTTTAGGCACACCTCCTACGCTTACCACTCACCTCCTCTCTTACATCATACCCTCTTCTTTCAGACAATACAACTTTCATAATATGCAAAGAGCGAGTGATAACTATTCAATCGCTATATTCTTGCGATAGTTAAGACATAGTCGTATTCCATTTCTGCTCTCCTCCAATAACCAACTAAACTATCTAAACCCATAGGTGATTAAGCAACCAAGTAGGGGCGTGTGGACATAAAAATTGGTTCATTATGTTGAAGGCCCAATCTAATTGTTTGTAGGGGAGGCGCCATCCATTTAAAACCACCTTGGCTGCCTAATAATATTTCAAGCATTTAAACGAATAATCGGCATTCCACCTTTTTCATTTGTTTGGGCTGAGTATTTACTACCTGCGATTTTAACGAATTTGAACCGTTAATTTTAACACCGCTCAACTAATTTTAGACAGACATCCTTTGTTTTCAAGTTATATGATTAGAGACACGCACTCGACAAGTAGATATTAGATGAAAAAATAAAATAGATATATTAAACGAACAAATTTGAGAGCCACTATGTCTAGATCCATCAATAGAAGTGAGGTATGGCGAGTCATTTAAATATGTTTTGTTCTTACGCACATACATAATAATAATGTTATTCAAAGTAAATAGGCTTTAATTTGATAGTTTCTATGGTCAGTCACTTTTAAGTTCTTCTTAACTATCTTATCCTCAACGTCACTCTAATTTAAATGTTGTCCTAATCTGCCACGATGATTGATAGGGTCTGCAATAATACCTTTATGAGTTGGTAGAGTTAGGGATGAACTCCGAAAATGCATGAACCTTATAAGTACGGTGCATTTAGAGAGTCTCCAACCACTTCCTAATTGTAATCTTGTTCATATTAGAGTAAGGTACCATATAGGGAGATGAAAGTTGGCTAGATTGAGAGTTTGCAACCTTATTTATATGGGGCCTATTAGGAAAATGTTAACTAACCTCTACAAGAGCTTCGAAACAATATCCATATCGGTATGATGATAAAAATGAGTTGGAATTGATTTAGAGGCATAGCTGAGCAATATGACAGTGAAAGATACTAGTAGAATCCTACGAGAAAGATGAGTTTAGAAGAGCTGAACCTTGGGAACCAACGGCTTAAATAGCGCGAAGGAGAGAGAACTTGATAGAGATCATAAGCAGGCGATCTCACTGTATTTCTTCCGAAGAACATCGGCATAGACAACAAGCAGCCGATTGCTCAACCAATCGATCAAAATCCCTAGTAACGGATTGTCGTGCAAATCGTCATTGTCGATCACTCAAACTTCCTCAAGAGCCGTTTTCGACATCTTATAATTGAGCTACCGAAAATGAATGTGCACCTTGTTTGTTGCTGCAGATAATAACTTTTAAAAGTTCATCATTTTTTTTTTAAAAGTCAATTAGTTTTTAAAAAATGAATTCAATAAAATACTATAATTCTTATAACTTATTATTCTAAGTTTTATTCTCTAGAAAATCATACTATTAATGCTACTATATATTTAAATTAATATAAAGTTATATGGAGGGATGTTTGGGATGTCAGTATGAGATTGAGCAAGTCAAGATGGTCGAGTTGTCTTGAGACATGAGATGACATCACAATGCATGGATTGTGTTGTTGGGAGCTGAGATGACGATGAGATTCCCAACGAACGTTCGAGCAAGGCAAGATGACCGAGTTGTCTTGAGACATGGGATGACATCACGATGTGTAGGTCATGTTGTTGGGAACCAAGATGATGATGAGCTTTCCAACAAACGTGTTTGAGCAAGCCAAGACGGCCGACTTGTCCCAAGACATGGAATGACATCACGATGCATAAGTCATGTTGTTGGGAACCAAGATGACAATGAGATGCGATGTCGTTGTGTTACAGACGATTGAACACACACAAGCGGCATGTGTGGCCCAACAAACTTGAATTCCGGACAAGTGATGTTCTATTGACAAAGATAAATCTCACTTAAAATCTAACAAATACGACTATTACGGTCTAAATATTTTATTGAAAACATGTATCACACTAGAATTTTCCAAAATCTTCATGTCATTATCATTTTAGTAGGTAAGTTTGTTGAGCAAATTTCCATTATCCTTTATTATTTCCTATGGATTTTTCTTTACAAATAAAAATTTAAATGTTTAAATTAAAAAATGATCCTTCAACTTAGACACCTATTAATATATATAATTTAAACATAGCAAGAAAAA